CACATGCCGCAAAACTTGCAACAAATTATATTAAATGAGGAAACCAGATGCAGGCAGGCGGAAATTCCATAGGGGGATTTGGGGAAAAGCCCATTAAGGCGGTGATAAACTGACATTGATAGTGGAGTAAGTTTTAGCTCAGATCGTCTGCTGTGCAAATACCGATGCCATCTTCGCTCTGTATACAAACAAATGTTTCTCCAGATACGAAAATTAATTAAACCCCCAAGAATGGGGGAAGAGAAAATAAATAGAGCTGCTGGCAAAAATATGGGTCAGAACGCTAATTTAACTGTTGACGGAGGCGTTGACAGACTGAGTTCATCACCAAAAACTTAAAATATGAATACTTTTCAAAAGAGATTGGGGGATGCCACCAAAAATTTATGCAACCTCATGTCGCCTTTCATCCTATCCAACTTTTCAAAACCGAAAGCAATTTGTCATTGCGACTTTTGACAGCATCGTCGTCGATGTCATTAAGCCCACAGAGGAAACCTCCGAAAATAAATCCTCAAACAGAAAAGCAGGAAACTGGCATTCGTGGGATATAATGCTCCACTTCAAAGTGAGGCATAAAACTCCGCCGCTAGATGGGCAAACTATTGGGGGAATTTCGAGTTTTGGCTAACCTTCGAATTTGGCATAAAATCCAACGAGCCAAAGACGGTGGGTATATATGCAAATGCAATGGGTTATATTCCGTGGGCCAACAATAAAATCGAGCAAAATCGAGGAAGCCAATAAATCTGTGCCGCCAAAGCGGCTCGTAAAAATGGACAAGTTTATGTGTATGGTGGGTTAAGGGGGTGGAGGTGCCGAAAGGGGTTAGGGTTAAGAGCAGCTGCCATTTATTTCGCATACCGAAAAGCTTCTCTATCTCTCTCTTTTAGCCTTTTCTACCTGTCGCCTGGCTGGCTGACTGCCTACAGTTTGACAGCCACTGACAAGACATTTTATGCACTTTTCTTTTTACGACCCACAGGAATTTTCAGAGCGCTAAGAGCATGTAATATGACATCACAAAACGGGACACAGGTCCTTCGACAATGTCCTCACTTGCAGAATGAAAATGTTTGCTTATGCCTCACTGAACAATTGTTCGGGGGATAAGGGACAGGGGAAATGGCCATTGGAAAAACCCTGAGAAAAACGTTTTATGTGCGAATAATAAGTAACAATCATTTGTGGATTCTATCAGCAGTGTTTGCACAAGTCCCTTTGTCCTTTTCCCGTTTTTTTCGTCTTGATTTGTGTTACTTTGTGACACAGTTTTCTTGGCTTTTACAAGCAGGTGCCTTCTCTACTCGAATTACTTTATTTCCCTCTATATAATATATATATATTACTTTCAGTGTAAAAAACTTTTGATCCATTTAATAAAAAAAGAAGAGGGAGAGACGTATTTTTATTTGACAGCTCGTTTAGTTCCCCGGTCTGGCATCTGTTAAACATTAAACGTCGGAAGACAAGCCAAAAGTTCAAAAGTGCAAAGTTCACAGCCTGGTTTCACCCCCTCCTCGTCCGTCGTAATATAATAAGTCTTAATAAGCCGAGGGCGTTCGATGTGCGGGTTAATTAAAAATTATTACCAAAGAGATTAACCGAAAAATGGATGCCGGCGGGATGTATGGCTAGATATCGGCTTTCCGCTCCCTCATGGCTTTTCCTCCCTGATTTTCCTGTTTATTCTCATCGATTCCGATCTGTGGACAAGTGTTAATGTAAGACTTAGATTTCCCATTCTCGCCCTCTTCTATTTGCTCTCCAGTTTCACTTCTTTCTCGTAAGTTCATTGACTGTTTGTTCTTAATACCCAAGATGTTTGACTTTCTGGTATTTATGGGATCATTATTTGTTAATAACTTCAAACATATTCTCCATTATTAAAAAAAAAATAGGTTAAGAAAGGGCAAAGAAAAAGAGAAAACTCAACCAAAAACAAATCAAACAAAGAATACATGATACTGCAAGGTTTTTATAAAATTATAAAATCTCATATCATATAAGAGATTACCCTTAATAGTGTATAAATTTTATTATTAAATTAAAATACCAAAACAAAGACTTAAAATAACATAATAGTAATCAAAATTTGAAGACTTTGTTTACTCTTCCATAGTACAAACTTAGCACGAGCTTTGATTTCCTTTAAACGACGGCCTTCAGCCACGTGCCTGTTATCAGCCTTCAATTCCAATTCATATATGAATATATATATATTTTTTTTCCTTTCGTTTTCTTTTTGCTCTGTGCTCATTTGGGCTGACCGCATAAGAATCTGGGGTGTGGGCATATAAAATAATAGAAATTATGTTGATTAGAGAGTTGGGCTCGGCAATCAACACTATGAGGGGTGACCGTTGCCCACCCGCTTTCTTTGTATTCCTTTCAGCATCTACTCGAGAAATACTTCCATATCTACTCTATTCAGCTAAATATTTTTTGCACAACCAGAAAAAAAGGGAAAAAAGGGAGGCAAACCAAGAGCATGCTCAGCATTCTTATAATTATAACATGCTCAGCATCCATATCAATACAGTAAAGTTGATGTCGACCCGGGCGCAAATTCCATTAGAGCACACAGGGCGAAGTGGGTTGGGGGGTTCTTCAGGGGACATGGGGAGTCTGCCTAAGTCTAAGGCCCAGCACGCACTCAGAGCCCATTTCCTCTGCAAGTTTATTCGATTAACAACAATCAGGCCAGGCCAAGCCACACCAGAGCAGGGAGCAAAGTCGATTGGAGTTGAGGGAAAAGGCAATACTGTCAAAGAAATCACTGCACAAAAATGATATCTAATGAGTGCCCATTTCCAAATCAGAACTCTTTAATATATATAGAGCTTGTTGAAAATGAGAACAATGATGTTCTAAAGAGCAAAGCAAGTCAGAGCTCGTAGAGTTCTACCTTTCCTAAATAAATTTATCTTCATCAGTAAAAACAGATTCTTGCAGTGTACGGTAAACGTCTTAAATTATGATTTTCTATTTTCATTATAGGTAGCAATTATTTTTCCACAGTGCAGACATTTGCCAAATGAGCAAAGGAAGCTGGCAAAAGCGGAACAGAGGCGTAGATAAGGGACGAAAAAGGGGGCTTTGGTGGTCTAAGGGGGGAGGAGGGTCGGTTATTGAAGTGGAGGTAGGAAAGCCATTTACACTTCCCTGTAATTGTAAATTATGTGCAACTTAGTGGAGAGAATACTCCCAGTTCGCTGGCATTTTGTGCTGGGTCCTCGATGTTGACATCAAGCTAAGTGACAGCATTCCATGGGTGGGCTTTAGTGGGTTAAGAGGTGGTGGGTGCATGTGTGTGTGGATAACTGCCACCCTCACATGCAAATTCAATTAGCAAGCGCTGTACACGAACACACAACTTGCAGTCTAGTGTAAGTCGGAGTATTGAATTAGAAATTGCGCCAAAAAACAATCAAAAAGAAACCAAAATTGAAGTCTTGTCTCAAGTTGCATAGTCGATCAATGGAGGGTCTTTGTTTTAGCCCCAACCCGGTTACCACAATTAAGGTTAATGACATTGATAAATTGAAAATGTTGGTTATCGAGGTTTCTGGGTTGCGCACAAACCTGATCAAATTCAATTATATATTTTGCCAACACACTCAGTCGACTGTCTTCATCTGGTTCCTTCTCGAATGACACATTTCTGTCGTATTTTCAGTGTGTATTTCTACAGATTGGCATTGTCAGTCTTTTGGGCTTGGTCTGAATCGCATAGCCAAGTTCCAGTCAGACTGGCTTTTATTCTATGGTCAATTTTAGTTTGTGTGGGTGTTTGGAAAGTATCATGCTAATGCCAAAACACAAATGTGTATTGCTTGTTATTTAGATAAGCTGCTCATATAGGGTGTTTATTATTTTAATTCACAGAAAATCATCTTCTAAATCAAATATTAAAAAAAGGGCTCATAATGGAAGTTTTTTGTTGTTCCTCCAAAAGCATTTTTCAATTTGAATAATTTCTAAAAACTATCAAAAAAGAAGAAAACCAGCACCCTGTATAAGCAAATCACGAGATGGGCGTACAGTGGCCACTTTATATGTACTAAGTATAAAGTCAACGGGAACTGGAACTTAAGCCGATGTCGAATCTAAAAACTGGCTGCCATATCTATTAATATATACTCTACTCCGTTTATTTTTACTGCTGTTGTTATGGAAATTCAAATAATTCCGAGTGCATTCAATGTGCCAGAGCTAATTTGTTGCTTGATGATATTAAATGAGTGGCGTAGTCAGAGAGAAAGGGGTTATAAAGGGGGGTTTTTCGGGTGGGCCAAGAGGGTGGCGGATTCCATGCCGAAGAGATAAATCAAATGCAAAGTTTACTTGTTGACTTTGCGGACGGCGGGGGCGGTGGTTTGAGGTTGAGGTTTGCTTCTCAACAGATTTAAATGCCAAATGTATACAACTTACTGCAAGCGACGGCAGCAGAAAAAGGGGCTGAAAGAGGGCGGCGGGCGGCTAAGCTCTGAATGTGGCTTTCATCTATATTTAGCTGAAGAGCTTTCCTCTCCTTTTCGCCCATTTTTGTTTGTTTGTCGCTTACCAAGTTTTTTGGCAGCTTAAGAGCTCGGCAACTGCATCATCGTGGCGAAGGCTTAGCAAAGTATCTTTTGACGAATTGAGATACTTAGCCAAGGGATTAGTTCAACTGTAATTAGCTACGGCAAGTGAGGCTCAGAGGCTTCACTGTCTTTGGGGATTTTATATATTATTTAAGTTTTTTGAAAAAAGGCTGCGGTGAGATTGTTGGAAAGTAGAAAAAGGAACATCAAGTCAATAGTTACTAATGGCTTAGGACATCAAGGGAAATTAAGTATAAAATAATTTTTTAAAGATATTTTCAAACTATTTTATTAATTATTTATTATTAATTTTAATATTCCAATGGCGAAAAGGAAAAAACAATTTCATTTTTTTTGATAATTTATTGGCCAAAAGTTTAAATTTAAATATGCCAAGCCAGGCACTGGACTCACCGTATTCCGTGGACATGGCGCACATGGGCTGGTGATGGTGCGGGTGCGGATGGTGCGGATGTTGCGGACAGATGCCCTCGTGCGGATGCGGTGCGATGTAGTATTCCGGCGGATAGAATTCGCCCGGATACTGGATATAGAGCTGACCCGGCGGCAATGGAGCAATGCCATTTGTTCCGTTATTCAGACCGTTGCCCTGACCTCCTGAACCGCCGCTGCCGCTGGAAAGGCTGCTCACGCTGCTGGCGGAGGAGCCACCACCTCCTCCACCGTTAGGTGAAATGCCTCCGCCCCCTACAGCTGATGGCCCGCCACCACCATGACCGTTTTCGTGGGGTGGCGGTAGATTCGGGGGCGGTGGCGGCAGTGGGGCATGGTGCAGGGCGTGCGGCGGTGGCAGGTGGTGATGGTGCTGCATGGCCGCCATCAATGCCAGCTGCTGTTGTGGGTGGTGTAGGGCGCAGACGGGCGGTACAATCTGGGCTCCTTGCGGCGGTGTTGCGGTCTGCTGCAGCAAAGGCGGCGATGCTGGGAGCGAGCAATTCGATGAACCTCCGTCTGAAGGGCGAGTGTTGCTGCTGTTGCTGCAGCTGCTGTTGCTGCGACTGCTGCGGCTGTAGCTGCTGCGGCTGATGTTGCTGCACCACCAAGTGTTGCTGCGGTGCCGGCAACATCACCATTGTGCAGGCGGGCGAGGCCGGATTACTATTCAAACTGGTCGTTGAAGAGGTTGTCGACGAGCAACTGCCACCCGCATTATTGTTGCTAATTATTGTTCCGTTGGTGTTGCTTATGCTGCTGTTGCTTATGTTGCCGTTGTTACTGCTGTTGTGTTGCTCTGCAACATTCAGTCGCACCATGGTATTCCGTTTTCAAACTCTTTCAGCCACTTTCTTCTTTTTAGGCCACTTTCAGCATTTTTCAGTTTAATTATTACGCGTTTCTTTGTCTATCTGCAAAAGAACACAGTGTTTACCTTAAATTAATAGTTGCACGATGGCAAAGAGCCTTTCCCTCTTGGTTACCAATCCAAAAACGTTATCATTTCATTGCTGCGATAAGAGCGGAGACAAAACAATCCTCCCACACACTGGCCCTAACCCAAGGTTATCAAAAGAAATTTCTACGAATTTAACGTCTCTGTTTTCGAAGAATTTAAAATGAGGAAAGTTTATAAGAAGAAATTCCCAATAGTCTGTTGAAGATCACACAAAGCGGATAAGCTCATATTATTGGCACTTAAAGATTTTAAAAAAAACACAGATTTATAGTTATTCACAACTTTCTCTTTTGCGTTGATAGATACGGTTTTTCAGAAGCACTAAGAAAGGTGAATTGAGTGTTTAAAAAATAATTGAAGAATATTCACCATTTCGAATTGGCCGATAAACGCACAGAACACACGCAATGTCAACACATGTTTCATGGCTTTAATGGACATCAAATCAAATATTTATAGATCAAAGATTTATGTCGATAGACTTCCGTTCCACATAGTATTTCCAGGAATATCAACGATTATGTGAAAGATGCTAAACAACGTGAACATTTTCAATGAAATCTAGTGCGAAAATAAATCAAATTGAAATTATCTCTCCGAACTGTTGACAGAATCGCAGGCCCACGGCAATTGTTGTTTTTCGTGTTGCCTCTGCCCAGCCAAACAATTGCAAATTGTAAGCAGAATTGCGCATTGTGTCAATTTGACAAATAATTGAAATATTTTCACAAAAGGCACAAACTAAACGACAAAGAGTGTGGGAAACGAGGGAAATGAGGGGGTGGCGGCGCTGGGGAATCACCACCCACATGCATTCATACAAAAAAAAAAAAAAAAAAATAAACAGAGAATAGCGACAGAGATAAGAGTGAAAACTAGCTAATAAGAACAACAACAGGGAACAGTACAGCAGCGGGCACTTAAATGAAACCCCGCAAATAGCAAATAACAAACAAAAAAGTGAGGGCGAAATACGAAACAGAAAGACGAAACTGCAGAACAAAACAACAATGGCAAAATTAAAACGTAAGCGTGTCTTAATCGTTCGATTTGGCATTCCCTCACTCTTTTTCATACACTGAGAAAAAAATCTATGATTGATATATTGATAGTTCTTAAATAGTCCAAAAATCATTAAAAATGATTTGCCAAAGTTCTTTGATAATATAAGGGGGAATTCTATTTTAACATCCATTTAAGCTGGAATTTCGAATAATAGTCAAGTCCACAATATTTGTCTCAGTGCCCACTCTCTCCATCTCATTTTAACTTGTCTGAGGGCTTGTCCCCCCCATTATTTTTCTGTCTGTAAAGAAATTCGATGCCTGCGCTTTGTTGTTGGGTGTTTTCATTTAGCCGTTAATGCAGCTTTACTTTAATGGGTTTCTTTTTTGGCCCTTTCGCTCGTTACGTCTGTCCGCATTTATCGCACCTTCCACCAACAACTGACAACTGGCCGAACACTTTTTTTTTGACAAAGGTGTTGGGTGTTGCATATCGAGGGAGTGAAAAAAAAAATGATGAGGGGGTCAGTGAACCCCATTAGCCGACAAAAATCATTTCCATTTCGGGGAGCATTGACTTTCAGTGAGAATCATCGTCAAAATTCGAGAGGAATGCAAAAAGTGAAAGAAATGCATTCCATAAAAAAATTCCACAATGCAAGAGATTGAAATTGGAAAATGATGTGGAAGACATTGTTTTGGAACAATTGTAGATTTTTATATAAGACCTACATAATTTAAACGCCCAACCATTCTTATTCAATTAATTTAAGATATCGCATGGCACTGATTTATTGTTTTGGTAATTTATAGGAAACCACGGAAAGTTTCTAATTGCCAGTGATTTACACGCTTGCAACTATATGTTTCCCACACAACCACTGCTCTTCCTTACATTTCTTGGTAACTGCTTAAAGATACTTCTGCAGACCACTCCTGCTGAAGATGGCAATCTGAATGGAGTTACCAAGTTTTCAGACCTGAAGACTTCCCCCAACCAACTTGCCAGACATTATCATGAACTAGAAGTAGAACAATCTGTTTGTGCTTAGGAATTTCCATTGCAAATGCCTTGCGTGGGTTGCATTCTAATTGATTTAGTGCGTCTGCAGTGGCATCAGCAGCGGCAGCGGCAGCGGCAGCAATTACCACCAAACAGTTGTTGTTGCATAATGCTGTGGGCCACGGATAAGTGCCAGAAGAAGAACCTGGCCAAGAAGTAGGGGAACTGTGAGATGGGATGGTGTTGAGTAAGCTAGTGGAAGAGGCGCTGCAGTCACAACAACAGAGTGAATGAAGTGCGACTGTTGTCACCTGTCTCAATATGCACTCTCGTACCTGTCTCAAGTACTCCCGGAGACCTCGGTCTTTCCATCTCACTCTCTCTCTTTCTCTCTATCTCTCTCACCGAAGACCCTCACCTGCCCGCAGTTCACACCTTCGCACACAACCACCTACACGGACACAAAGAATGTCAAATGTTAATTCAATCGGTGATGGTTAAATTAACATTTAAAAGAAAATTATTATTCGTAGGCAATAATTTTCAACGCTTCGTTTTCTTACGAGAATATGATTGTCTTAGGAAAGTATATAAAACCTTTTTATTTATGAAATAGTTAATCGTTTTCTCACTATTTTAGCGATCTTAAATCAAAAAGGTATCAATTTTTTTAAAGTAAATGTTCTTCTCGATTTGTTTTTTTTTTTTTTGAGTGTGGCAGACAATGAGACACGCACCTCCAGCGCTGACGTTGACGTCGGATCGGCAGACAGCCGGGAGAGCTCAGGTGAGAGGGCGGGACAGACTGAACTGAGACGGAGGACACCACGCGGAAATCTACGCAGCTTAGCAATCTGCTTCTTTCTGTATTTTGTTTTTGTTTTTCCATGGGTATGTGTTTTTTTTCGCTATATTAAATGGCAGACAGATGAAGAGGAGACATTTGTAGACTTTTTTCTTAACACCCGCCGCATTTGTGTCAAAAGTGTCTAGACCGGCTTCAGGTGGTTACGGGGTGAAAACTTGCCCCCGGGTTTTTTATTTTGTCAGTAGGCGAATGGATGGGCGGGTGGTCGTGTCGAGGCCACTCAACGGCAACGCATTTGCGACACGTTGAGCGTCTTGATGAGGCCATTTGTTTGAGTATCGGAGGTGCTCACCTGTCCCCCCAGGTCCTTACCTCCACACCTCCTGCCACTCCCCGCACAGTCAAGCCGGCGCATCCGAGGTGTCAACGGAATCTGTACGTGTTGTCAGATCCGCCGCTGCGAAGGTGTCAAATGTCTAATGAATTATTGAGCAGCTATCAGAGAAATGTGCTCCGGCCAAACGCCGGAATGTCGTGATGTCAATCAAAAGGATATCTTAATGCCTAACATAGCTTTAGCAAAACTTAAAATATCAATTTGATTGGCATCACTACCTAATACCTATCTAAAGACTGTTCTTGTTAGGGAACTACAAAAAATAGTAGCTTATATCATAAACTAGAAAATATATTAGTTCCTTTACCCAGAACTACCCAAGTACATTTGCATAATGACTCAATAATAAATAAATCAATTGACAATAAAATCTATATACGATGCATAAGACTCGTTTCGCTGATATAGAATTATAATAATTGACACATACAATGTTGTAGCCATATATTGGGGTCAAACTTCATTAAGTCAAACCAAAACGAAAACCCTCTACGCTTAACTTTCTTGGCTCTGCCAAGAATAACAATTACCTGTAATGAGCCATTCCCAAGTTAAGAGTTGCCTTAAAAAGTAAATGAAATTAGAATTTCTTGTGCTTGCCGACTGCAAGATTGAGTTAGTGGAAGTGCTAAATAATTCAGGGTTTTCTTTTTGGCCAAGTCAACACTTTCCCACTCACAGAAGCCATTCTTCTCCCACTACCAATTCTTCTGGGCTATTCTTCAGTTGGTGCAGCTTAACAAATGGCTTACTTTGTGTGCAAATAGCAGCAATGGAGCAGAGGCAATTTTTCTAACGGTAATTTCTAACATTTACCTAGTTACCGTTAATAGACAACTTGGCCAAGTTGGCGAGAGCTAAGACATGGAAAAATGTCTAGAGAGGGGGAACTGGGAGGAAAAACTGCAGTCAATGGCGGCCATTTCACAGCTTTCTTTCTTTTGTGCGCTCGAGTGCGTCGTGTCTGGAAAATTCTTCTTCATGGGGGAAAAAGAAGCGCAGGGCGAAGTGTGGAAAATGCCTTGGTGCGTTTTATGTCGTGGCACATTTTCCCCTGGCCAAGCTCAATGACTGGTTATCGGTTCCGTTTAGAATGGTTTCTGGTTCAACAAAACCCCCATTTAGGCCAGCCAGCCAGTAACCGGCAATATACGTATGCCACCTGCAACATGCAACTTGTCTCACATGCCGCAGCCCCACTTAATTGCATAAGCCTCCCCAAATACCTCAATAATTTCCCCACAATTTTTAGCAGAAAACAACAACAGCAAAACGAAATCTGAAAAACACGAGACAACATTTTTCCATATGCAACAAATTGGCAACTAACAACACCAACACCTGTTGTATTGGCCAGCTTCTTCGTTTAATTACAGACACACACTATGTTAATAATTTGGTTTTTTGGTATTTCTGGTTATTGTTTGATTTTTTCGTCGTTGTTCTTTTTGTTTTTTATCTTCGGTTGCATAAGGCGGCGTAATAGAAACAATGCAGCTACAATTTGTGGCAGCGTTGGCGGCTAATTACTGCTGTTGCATAAAGACAACATCTTTTTTAGTGTGTTTGTGAACCTGTTAGGTAGAGATTCAGATACGAGGCTGTAGGCTGAACAACACGAAACTTTATTCAGCGTCAACAATCCAATTTCCTCTTGATATTTTCCAAAATTCCAAGAAATTTTAGAGTTAAGAAAATAACCCCCTGAAATAACCTCACCACAAGCAGCTCATGGGCTTCC